TACTCTAAAGTGAGCCTCCTTTTGCCAGACTTAGTTCCAAGTAACAGCACAGTCCATTCTCCAGACCCTGGGATAGCTTGCTGTTTTCCTGACCATGGACTGACTCATTTTGTGAAGCTAATGAACGTCTAACAAGGTGATAATCATCCTAATTTCTCTGTTGAGTAAGTCCAGATGGAAGTACATTTGAGGCCCTCTCAAAGAGAGACACACCCAATATCCACATAAACTCCATGAGGGCCTAGGATGGCTCAAGAGATTTTGAAAGACCCACGTAGGGGCGCCTGGGTGGCTTAGCCGGTTAAGTGTCCGACTTCGGCTCGGGTCATGGTCTCATGGTTTGGGAGTTTGAGCCCCACACCGGGCTCTCTGCTGACAGTTCAGAGCCTGGAGCCTGTTTCAGATTCTGTGTCTCCCTCTTCCTCCCTCTCTCTGTCTCTGTCTCTGTCTCTATCTGCCTCTCCCTGGCTCTCACTGTCTCTCTCTCAAAAATAAATAAATATAAAAAAAAAGAAAGACCCATGTTAACCCCTCTCATTGGAGGCTTGTGGGTATATCCCAGAGAATCTGCTCTCCCTAATCAGGCATCAAAGGCCCTGAGCACAAGGACTAGTACAGAGTAAGCGCTCGAAAGATATGCTATAGATTATTATCACCATCTTCACTGCCACCTTGTAACTCTTATCTCCCCAAGTACATTTGAAGGTACATTCTCACAACAACCTTCTGAGATGTGTGATATTGTCCCCATTTTGCAGATGAGGAAAATGAGGCTCAGAGCAGTGATACTACATTTTTTATCAGCCCCCTCCCTGATCTCCAGCTTTCACTCTTACCCCACCAGTCCATTATCCTCACAGACACCAGATTTCATTTTCAGATGATATCAGATCATATGGAGGAGAAAATGCTCTCTGAGTAATAATGTATGCAATATTTTTTTTAAGGATTTTATTTTTGAGTAATCTTTACATCCCAACGTAGGGCTTGAACTTACAACCCGAAGATCAAGAGTCACATGCTCTACCGACTGAGCCAGCCAGGCACCCCTGTTATATAATATTTTCTGATCCAACATTTCCTTATGATATAGGTGTCTTAAAAAATTAAGAGCAACGCCATGGTTGGGTTAGATGTTAACATTAAGGGGAACCTGAGTGAAAGGTATATAGGAACTCTGTACCATCTTTGCAACTCTCAGGAAATCCCGAATTATTTCAAAATAAAAAGCTTATTTTTAAAAATGAATTAGATCATGTTAATGCTCTCACTAAAACTCTGTGGTAATTTCCCACTAGGCTTAGAATAGAATCTGAATTTCTTTCCATGGCTTACTGGGCCCTGAGTGGTCTGGCCTTGCCCATTTCTTCAACCTCCCCTCTCAACACTCGCCCCTCCCACTATCCTCCAGACACTTTGACCTTCTTTCAATCTTCCAAAGCTGGAAGATTGTTCTTGCCTCAGGGCCTTTGCACTTGCTGTTCCCTCTGTTGAGAAAGCTCTTTCTCTGCGTAGTTCTTTTGATGAGACTCTCTCTTATCCTTCAAATCATGATTCAAATGTCAAATCTTCAGAGTCCCTCTCTTACATAGTCACATGACCTCTTCTAATTATCTCACAAAATTCACCACTCTCTGAAATTACCTTCTTTGACTGGTTTCTCTGTTCCCGTCTTTCTTCTCCATTAGACGGAGAATTCCATGAGGGCAGAGACTATGTTGGATTGCTCACTGCTGTGTTCCCTGCTTCTCACATACCTGACACAGTGTAAGGCCCCAATGACAATTTGCCAAAAAGAATAACAGTGTCTGTTGGTAATGCCACAGGATATTGAAACAAAACTGTGGACTTTGTCAAAGGCTTTCACCCATATTTTTTTCCTATGGTTCTTGACTTTGCCCAAAACCTCCAGAATATCCAGGCAGGTCCAGAGTTACTGACAAACCTCATCAACACCATTTCCTTGTGTCATTTAACAATGATCCTAATGCTCATTAAATTTGAATGAAGGAGGGAAAAGACTTCACCCCCGACATTCTAGAACAGCGTTCCAAATTATCGGCCAAGGGCTAAATGTAGTCAAGATACGTTTTGTCAGCCTCATATAGTGTTTCAGGATTTGAGTGTACGACCAGCCCAATTTAAAAATTGGAACATTTCATATAAAAACCCATATGCCCAAATTCTCCTGGCCACACTGGGCATGCTTCTCACATGGTCTCAACAGACTGGCACTGAAAGTGGCTGCTCCTTGGGTGGATGAGTGTGGGCTCTCCAGTTCACCATGGTCTCCACCCACTTGGCTTCATTAGTTCATGGTGCCTGAATCTCCCTCAAAACTAAAGTAGTCCTAGAAATACTATGGGGTTTTCAAATATTTTGGCCACAGCCCCTCTTACATGGGAGCTCAATGTATAAAAGCTAATAGTAGTAATAGTTAATATTGATTGAGTGCTTAGTGCATGGTATGGTTCTGCCTTGGTTGATGCAAGGGATGGAGGACCAGAATCCCATCAGTTCCTTAAGAAAGCGCTGTGGGCCCAAGGAAGAACACACAAAAAGCACTATCTTCATTTTCTAGATGGGCAAAGTGAGGCATACAGAGGGGAAGGTACACTCCATCTATTAGACAGTAGCCTTTCAGGCAAATACTTGTCCACTAGTCCTTAGGGAGACCATTAGTATCGATAATGGCATAAAAAGGCCAATCAGCTCTTTCCTCCACGAGCTGGTTTCTGGGAGTCATTCAGGACTGCTCTGTGAGCCAATGCCACTCTCTGGCTTGGAGCCAGCTAATTCGCATAGACATATGCCAGCAAAACTGGCCTCCAGGGGGGTTGCCCAATGAAGAATGGTGCGTGGATAGAGGCCCTCCCTATGTCCCAGTCCAGTCTGAAGTCATCCTCCAGCCCTGATGTCAACAGATATTAACATACCTGCCATTTTTGCATGAGGAAAATCATAGCACTCTTGTGGTAGAAACATGTTCTGATCATTCCACTGGGTTCCACATTTACGTATCAGGATTGTGCTTGGTGCAGGGCATTCACAATGGCGATTTGTTCAATAAGAACAAGGGCTTTGGTTTCTAGCTGTCCTGAGTACCAGCCCTGGCTCTGTAATTTACTAGCTGTGTGACCTTCTGAAGACAACCTAGCCTCTCTGTGTCTCACTTTCTTCGTCTGTAAAATGGGGATGATTGTCCTGGGGATTTGATGAGATCGTTTTTGGCACATACTAAGAAAATGAGTGCAGTGTTTGGTTTTTTTCTCTCTACTGCACTTATCAGAAGCTGACATTTTTTTTTGCATCTTTGTTTATTGTCTGTCTGGATTACTAGATGACTCTCCATGAGAAGGGCCTTGTCTGTCTTACTCAGCCCTGCTTCCCAGCCCAGAACAATGCCTGGCACAGAGTAGGTGCTCCATAAATATTTGTCTGCTGAATGAATCGCTGTCTTTCATATTCTTGCTCTAATTGCCATTGTCATGATGCACCCTGCCCTGTGGGAGTCCAAAGTCTCCTAGAATCCAGCCAGAGCCACCCTGACCTCAACAGCCAGCTGTTCACAACAGTCCTGGGCATCGCCTCTGAATGTCACCAACTGGGCCCTGTGCCCTAGGCTGACAAATGACACTTGTGTATCTTCTGGTGCACAGAGCTACAGCACGAGGGAATGAGCTTAAGACTGGGGAAAGTGGAGTTAGTAGCTGAGCCAAGTAGGGGAAGCCTTGAACTTCAACACTCCATCCCACACTCCACCTCCCTCCACCCCCCACCCTCACCCCCCAGCAGCTATGGGACCACACATCTGCACAGGGAGGACATCCCTACAGAGGATTGATGCCCAGGTGGTGCATTTGGGGATGGGATGTGCATCCTGAGTGCCTTGAGAAACAAAATTAATTTCTCAGGGGTTGGGAAACGGCTTTGCAAACTGTAAAATGCTGCGGGAGGAAACAGACAAATGTAAAGGTCAGGAAAGAGCAGACGTTTTGCTAAGTGTGCGCTGCACTTCCAAACCTAGCTAAAGGGGACGCGGAGCCCTCGGAGGTGGCAGATTTTGGGGGCTTCGTGGAGAGGGATGCACTTGGGGACACTGGGGAGCCGAAGGGAACGGGCCAAAGTTTCCTAGGATGTCTGCAGAAGCCAGGACTGCACGCACTGCACGGCCGGCCCCTGCAAACTCGCCCCGCTTTTCCGGCCTCGAGACCCGAGACCCGACGCGCGAAATCTGCAACCTCTCCCTTTATCTGCTTGCACACGCTTGTTCACCTTCATTCTGGCTTACATCAGGGTAATCGTTCCGATGATTATATAACTTCCCGAGTTCAAGAAAGATAATCCAAAGATAGGAATGATGAAAAATTTGGGTGGATTAAAAACATTTTCTCCCAAATGTAAAAGTTACAGCGCTCACACATACACAAAAATATACAAATACCCTTAATCCCACCACTCAGAAAGAATAACTATTAACCTCTTGATTTATCTGGGAGACGACTTTTTAAATTAGTGGCCAAATGAACCTTTCCCTTCCCCCAAATCCCATCAAATTTAAATCCAAAATAAATCAACCTACTTCTTTTTAATACTGTCTCCACCTCCACCCCAGATTTATTTATTCAGGACACCCCGAATTCTCCCGGTGGGCTTCCACGTGGCCAAGTCTGCAAACATCTGGCTTAACGAACAGTGTCTGGTGGAAGCTGAACACCCAGGAACGCACAGCTGCATCTGCCCTCCCCATCTCCAACTCCCGCGTGCAACTTTGCAGCTCCCGCTCCCGCCAGGGGGCCTATTTGCTCGGCCCGTTTGGCGGAGGGATCTCGCGCGGGAGCGCGGTTACGCTCAACCGTCTCCCCCGATTCCCGCGCTCTGGCCCCGCCCCCTTCCCGCGCTCTGGTCCCGCCCCATCCCGCGCGCCCTATGGCCCATAAAGAAGTCCCGGCCGGGCCGCTGCACTCCCCCGCGCGCATCCATGCGCCGACCGAGACTGGCTAAGGAGTCGGCGGCCATTTTGTTCTTCTCGTGGTTCCAGTGGGGAGAGAAGGAGGAAGTAGGGAGCGGGGCGGTTGGGGGGGACCCGCCGCGGCTGCTGCCACCGCCGCCACCGCCGCCTCTGTGCTCGTGGCGTGGGAAAGGAGGTGTGAGTCCCGGGCGCGAGCCGGCGGCGGCGCCGCTGCGGGAGGGTCGGCGGTGGGAAGGCGATGGCGGATATAGATAAACTCAACATCGACAGCATCATCCAACGGCTGCTGGAAGGTGAAGGGGTCGGCGGACGGGCTGAAGGGAGGCGGGCGCCCCGGGGGCTCGCGGGGGAGGGGGAACGGGGAGGCCGGTGGGGCTTGCAGCGCCGAGGTGAGTGAGCCCCGCGAGTTGGCTCGTGGGGCCAGGGCTTGCAGCCGGAGGCAGGCCGGCCGCGGTCCGGCTCGGCCCAGCCCGCAGACCCTCACGGCCCCGCTCATTCATTGCTCGGAGGTGCAGCCTTCTTCCCAGAGATTTGAAAACTCCGCTCCCCACCCCCACGCTTCCGGTCCGTACCCCCTTGCGCCCCGCAAAGGGACCGGTCTTTGGAGGAGAGAGGGCTGGGGGACCCGGTCCGACCTGCTGGACGGCATGTTCCTTACTTTCTGGTACTCGTCTTCTCGGAAGGCAATTTGATGGAGCTGTGGGTTCCGCCAGCTTCGGGGCTTCTTTCCAATCTTATTTTGTGTGTGGGGCTGGTGTCCGGTGGCCCATTTCTTAGTACTTGGTGACGAATGTTCCTATCTCCAGAGGATCTTGGAACCCATCCCCTTCTGCCCTCCCAAATACGCTTCTTAAGTTATCCTTATCTTGAAGAGGTCTCCGCGCTCTTTTCTGAACGTGCCACTGAACATGAAACCAGCGATGGTGACAGTTTCGTTAATGTTTCCAGTGTGCCAGGCTCTGTATTAATGAGGCTTTGCATTCGCCTCATAATTACATTCAGAGCAATAGTCAGCGTTTCTAAAGCGCTTACTGTGTGTCGAGACATTCTTAGAGCAGTTTCATTAATTCTCCAACAACCTTGAGAGATGGGTGCTGTTCTTTTTTTTTTTCCTGTTTTTCAGAAGAAACTTAGATACAAGAGAGAGTAAGTCACTTGACCAAGGTCACACATTAGTGACAGTCAGGTTTCAAACCCAGGCAGCCGGGAGTTAGAACTTGGTGCATCCAAGCCACCTTGTGTCTGAAGGGAGATGTTGGCGGTTAAGCAAAAGTTAAAACAAAGCTTGGCTTTTGCTTGACCTGAGACTCTTGAGGTGCCTGACAGTTGATTGATACTGATGTGGGAGACAGATGAAGTTTGGATTTCAAAGAGTGTCGCTGAAGTGAATCCCCCCACCCCACCCCAGCCACGTCTAGTAATGCTATTGTCTTTTTCTGAGGCTTTGGGAGATTTCAAATCTCTTTCTTTTTTGGGCGCTGGAAATGTAGGTTTAGCCGAGTTTTAACTGCTTTTTGCCTTTATACTGTCCTCTTAAAATATTGCACCGTAAAGCTTGAAGCATGGAGTCCAGAGCAAGAACAATTTGGGTAACTCTGGTTCTAGAATTTGCAGGTCTTTTAAATTAAGTCCTTAAAATTTAGAATCCCCTGGAAACATACTAATCCGTGCTGGGTTTTTGGGTTTTTTTACTTTATACTTTCTTAAAACAAATGAAAACCCCACTGAATGTGTATAAGGATCCCTGAAATGTTGGTGGCATTTGTGAATGAAAAACTTGTCACTCATTATTTACTTGGCATTTATTGTAAGAACTATATTTTTCATGCTAGTTAACATAGTCCTTTGATTTATAAGAGGCCACAGAAACCAATTAAAACTGCAGAATGAAAGGAATTTTTTATTAAATGTTATCATTTTAAATCTTTAACTTCTGTCTGTGCAAGGTTGTGTGTTTATTAGATGGGGTCTAGTTCACTGAGGAAACAAAAAATTGGAATTTTTGTTGATTAGTATCATCGGAAGTTTAAAAACCATTTAAGTCTTATTAACTTAAGGTCTTTTTAAAGTCATGCTAAGAAATTTGCCTTGATAGGGGTGCCTGGGTGGCCCGGTCGGTGAGCGGCTGACTTCGGCTCAGGTCATGATCTCGTGGTTTGTGGGTTCGAGCGCCACGTCGGGCTATGTGCTAACAACTAGCTCAGAGCCTGGAGCCTGTTTTCGGAATCTGTATCTCCCTTTCTTTCTGACCGTCCCCTGCTCGCTCGCTCGCGCGCTCTCTCTCTATCTCAAAAATAATAAAACATTTTAAAAATTATTTTAATAAAAAAATTTACCTTGATAAACTTAGATCATCTAAAATGAAATTAATCATTTCCTAATAGTTCCTCTTTACATGTTATGCTGCACTTGAAAACCAGATTTTTTTATATTTCATTTTTCATTGAAATTAATATAAGAAAAGCATTGTATCCTAATGCCTCCGGAATGGGCTACCTGCACAATACTGTATGCTTAAATTCCCTTTTTCTCATCAGTGTTAATTTGGCAGATAAATGGTTGAAGATGATCCATTGAGGGAGGAGATTTTATATTTGTACATTTTATATACATATTCATGTTAGAAGTTGATAATACATTTTGTGATTTTTCTTTTTTGGTAATGCCCCCAAAACATTTTTCCCTATGAATTTTAATTAAGATGTAAATATACCTGAAAAGGAATGTGAGTTTTGTGGTCTCTTTTGTATGTTCATATAAGGTGGAAGATTGGGGGCGCCTGGGTGGCTCAGTCAGTTAAGCACGGACTCTAGCTAGCGTTCATCTCACAGTGTTCCTGAGATTGAGCTCAGGTCATCGGGCTCTGTGTTGGCAGTGTGGAGTCTGTTTGGGATTCTCTCTCTCTCTCTCTCTCTCTCTCTCTCTCTCTCTGTCCCTCCCCTGCACTCACTCCCGCTCTTGCTCTCTGTCTCTGTCTCTGTCTCTCTCTCTCTCTCAGAATAAATAAATAAACTTAAAAAAAGAGAAAGGTCCAAGACTGTGCAAGCTTAGTTGAGAAGTGGCTTAGTAATAGTACTGAAGGCAACTCAAAGCGAGGTCTTATTTAAAGAAAACAGCATGTTGATTTAGAGTACAGCTTTGCCATTATTTTCTACTCTAAACTCTTGTTTTTCCTTAGGTGAGGAATCATTTATGTATCCCACCTTGGAAGCTTTATCCAAGCTATGGCTTGCTGATGATAAAACTTGAAACACTTTAATTTTCAGTTATTTAAATAACTGTACAGTAAAATTTGGGAGATTTAGAGAGAAAATAAGCCTGTTGTTGATTTGGTCTGATATTCCTACCATGTTAGAGAAGAGTGAGGGCAGAGTACTGCTTTGTGAGCGAGCTGGTTCAGGGAGCAGTGATGGCTAGTATTTTTCTTACACAGCAGGCAGTGAGACTTATTTCACATCCTGATGTGCAGAAAGCATCGTTTCCATGAAGATGGCCATTGTCAGACTGCAAGACCCTGTCAGGCTTTGCATAATCATCCTGCTTACTTTAGTGATTTAAATGATGACTTCTGCCCCAGCCTTCAGAAAGCGCCTACCATTTGTATCCTCTGATGTGTTAAGAGTTCATCTGAAAATAGTGTTGAGATACTCTAAAACTCCAAAATTCAGTGAGCCATGGATTTAGCTCTTTGGTGTAATATGAAATATGTTTATACACTTCTTAAAATTCTGATCAAAGAAAACAAAAGTAATCTTTTCTAATGAGACCTGCAGTTACTATTTTTTAATAGGTCATAATTTTAACAATACAGGTTTTTCTTGGAAGCAGTTATCATAGGGCATTTTGTTGATAAAGACAGTGATATCAAAGCTTGTTACTCATTCCCTAAGTTAGAAGTCTGTGTTGTGAGGCCTCTGCTCTTCCCTCTCGTCCCTTTCCACCATGTCTGCAGTAAGCCTCACCCTCTCCTGTGAGGTAGGAGAGGACAGATCTCGTGAAGACAGCACCTGAGGCTTGCACCAGTCCTAAACCACTTACGGCCGAAGTGCCGCCTTGTTTGTCAGTAACAGGAGGCATCATGAAATCCTAACGAGATGGTGTGGGTCATCATGTGTTTGAGTAAATGTTAGCCACAGGAGCAAGGGCCTTCTCCCAGGCTCCTGAGATGGAGACCGTGCGGGGCCACACATTAGAAATCTGTTGTCGAAGTAGAGTTGGTTGTGAGATTGTTTTATGTCTTTGACACTGCAATCCTATAATCATCTTCCCTCGACCTGTCCTGCAAAAATATGTGCGAGTGCCAGTTTACTTGAGGTAGGTGAGGATTACTGGTCCTGAAGCAAGGCAGTGGTTGATACTGATTTTATACCAACTTGACCATTTCACTTCATTTATAAGTCAGGGCTATTAGGAGACCTTAAAGATTGAAATGTGAAGGAGACAATATTCTGATGTGAATTGCTTCAAAACTGGAAAAGTCTTATTCAACATGAATAAGGAAAGATTTCATATTTTTGGACTTCATGGAATTCTGGGATGAAAGTTTTAGGATCAGACCCCTGTTTGCAGAGCATGTAGGAACAGATGATTTACTTAGGGATCTTGATTTACCTGAAATCTCCACAAATTCTCCTCTGCTCTAAGGTTTGCAGGCATCCCTTATCTAGAGTGGAGTGGGTGTCACTGATATTAAGACTTATGAAAATGAAAACTATTCATAAAACGTAGGGTCAGACTTCAAGTCTCATCAATGGTGTTTTATCAAAATGAGTTGTTAGACTGAAAAGATAAATGTTTTTCAGTAAACTGGGTTCAATCAAGGTGTAGAAAACTCAAGCTATTTTGAGAGCAGTAGATAGTATTTTGCAAATATATCCTATTTGTCTTGAAAAAATTGGTATCACTTCTAAATGCCCAAAGTGAATAACTAATGTAATACTGTGTGTCACCTATATGTCAATTAAAAAATAAATAAATAAATGCCCAAAGTATAATGGCAGCATCACCCAAAAGTGAGAAGTCTTCCTGCTAATGACTTTGCAATGAAACCAAATGATTCTTTTTTTATTAAAAAAAAAAATTTTTTTTTTTTGTTAATGTTTATTTATTTTTGAGAGAGTGCAGGCAGGCGTGGGGCAGAAAGGGAGAGACAGAATCCAAAGCAGGCTCCAGGCTCTGAGCTGTCAGCACAGAGCCCAGTGCGGGGCTCGAACTCACGAACCGTGAGATCATGACCTAAGCCAAAGTCAGACGATTAACTGACTGAGCCACCCAGGTGCCCCATTAAACCAAA